CCCGCCGAGCAGGGAGCCCGATGCGGGACTCGATCCCGGGACTCCAGGATCATGACCTGAGCTGAAGGCAGTCGCCTAACCAACTGAGCCACCCAAGGCGCCCAAAGTCTGGGCTCTTGATCACCGTGCATTAGTGCCACCTCATCCTCGAGATCTGAGGATAAGGACCAGGTATGAAGCTGGGGACTGACTCTGGAGGGTTTTGAATGCCAGCCTCAGCCCCGCATAGAAATCACGCAGCACCAGGCAGGAATCAGCAGACTTGGAATTCAGCTTCTGGCAACTCCACCACTCGCTAGCTAAGGTCACTTCTTGGATCCTCGGCATCTCTAAGCTGGAGAGACTGGGAATGTAAATGGATTATTGGCAATGAAGGTTTTGAATGAGGGAGGGAGGCTCTTGTGACAAAAAGATTGTTTAGGAAAAACATGGAGATGTTCAAATATTTACCGAGTGTGGGGCTCTGGGAATGTTACTGAGAACAAGACAGAGCTCTGCACTCTGGACCCCCAGCCCCCACCCAGGCCTGCACAGGGCAGGCACAGCTTGGGAGGGTGGGGGAGAAACCTTTTATTGGAACAAACAAGGGCTCAGAAGCTGGCCTGTCCAGATTGGACTGCTAGTTCTCAAGTGAGTGAATTTGTGTGACCTTGGACAAGTTACCTAGCCTTTCTGTCTCTCCATCTTTACCACGAAGACCATCATGCCTCCTCCGGGGATTGTTGGATTCAATGAAATAAAACCATGCAATGACCTAGCAGGGTGCTGGGCATACTGTAGGCATTCAGCAGATGTTAGCATCTTCCTATGAAGAGGTATAAATATTAGGCTCCACCCATCGCCCCCCTGCCAAGAAAGAAAACAGGTTTCCTGGCTTTCATTTTAGCGGGGCAGAAAAGGGATATAAAAGCGTATATGCTAAGTAAGCAAGCATGCAAAGTAACAAAAGGCCTTTGGCCTGGGTAATGTGCTGCTGGGTCTGGGCTCAGGACAGGACTCCGTGCCCAAATTCCCCACCACCCCAGGGAATCCGGGCCCATTCCTCAGCGGGCCCGGCGCTGCTCCGGCTGCTGCCGCACGGTACGGGAACCACCGTTCCCAGCCTGTTTGGCGGGCTGCTAGGGCCGGCGGGCGCCGGGCGACAGGAGGTGTGGCGGCCCCTTTAAGCAGCGAAGCTCGTGTTGCAATCGCAGCCTTGGGGACCGGTCCTTTCCGGGGGGTGGAGCCTGTGCCTGTAGCGGCGGCCAACCACAGCGCGGCATTTTCCGCGGGAGATCCGAATTTCGCGGCACGCAGTTTGGCGCTAAAAAAAAAAAAAAAAAAAAGGAAGAAGAAGAAGGGAAAAAAAAGAGGCAGAGAAAGGCTTGGGGACCAAAGAGCCAGGCGAGAGGGAGTCGGTGCAATCGGCCCCCCTTCCCCGTCTGAGCGCATCGCCTCTCCTCCGAGCCCCCAGCGACCCCAGAGACCCCTGCCGGGAGCCAGCCAGACCCTAAGCGTCAGGCGTTTCGGGGGCGCGGGGCCGTCCCGGGTCGCCGCCGCCCTCGGGGCCGGACAGCCCCTGGCCGTGCCGCCGCCGCCGCGGGGCGATCTCCAAGCGGGGATCTCCAAGCGCTGCTCGGCTCGGCGGCGGGCCAGGAGGGGAGGGTCCGGCCTTGCCCCGCAGGCGTCCATTGGCGGCTTCCCCCGGGCCTCCGCGCCATGCCTCGGGCCGTGTGAGCCTCCGCGGGCTCCGGAGCCCGCAGGTGCCCGCGGGCGCGCCAGGCCCGGTTGGGGAGGGGGCGCTGCGCTCGCCATGCTGCGAGGGCCCCGGGCCCTGGCTCCAGCCGCCGGGCCGCCCTCGAAGGGACTGCCCGCGATGAGCCCTACCGAGCTGTGGCCGCCCGGCCTCAGCAGCCCCCAGCTCTGCCCGGCCACCGCCACCTACTACACCTCGCTGTACCCGCAGACTGTGCCTCCCACTGCGGCGCCCGGCACCTGCCTCGACGCCACCCCCCACGGACCGGAGGGCCAAGCTGTGCGATGCGCGCCGGCTGGCCGGCTGCCGGTAATGCTGGGGACCTCCCCACCGCCGCCCACCGCTTCTCCCTGTGCTTTTGCGGGTGTGGGAAAGGAGGGAGGGGCGCCTGGGACCCAGTTTGAACGAAACAGGTCGAGTTGGGGAGGGAAAAGAGAGCTTTCAACTTCCAGAACAACCCATTGCCCTGCATATCTGAGTTGAAGAGCCCTTCGTTTTCGGACTTGGGATGAAATAACCTCATCCATTGGAGTCGAGGGGAATGAGCACTGGATTGGGAGTGCGGAGACTCAGCCCACTACCCCCACTGCACCGTGTGACCTTGAGGAAGTCCACGGAGCCAACATTGCCACCATTCCTTCATTCTTTCATTCATTGTTTTGTCCAGAAACTGGTACTGGGCATCTGCTATGGTCCAGGTATAGGGCTTGGTCTAGGCATACAGTGGGGACTTTAAAACGGGGTGGGGAGGAAAGCAGGGCTGGGGTGTCTCTCAGGTCCAGCCTGGCTTGGACAGACTCTAAATCTCCCGTACAACCAACTCTTTCCCAATTATCTGCCCTGTGTCTCTCCCAGGCCCAGTCTTCCCTCCCAGACAGCCAGTAGCAGGTGCAAATTGGGGGCAGCCCCCTGGGTTTCCTATTCAGATGGACTTTTCCTTTCTCAAGCCCCCAGGCCATTGCCAGGGAGGGCCCCAAATCTGGGCACTAGGTACAGGGTGTGTTTTGTGGGAGTGGAATTCCTGGAGCCCTTGAGAATGGAAACAACCATAGGGTAGGGGTGGGTGGGGTGGGAAATGCCCTGGGGGAATTGGGTGGTGGGTGGGGAGCCTGGTTTCTGGTCCTGACTGCCACTAATTCAGTGTGTCCCTGGACAAGTCTTGGCCCCAGTCTGGGCTTACATTTCCTTTTCTTTTTTTCTTTTTCTTTTTTTAAAGATTTTATTTATTTGACAGAGAGAGACACAGCGAGAGAAGGAACACAAGCAGGGGTAGTGGGGGAGGGAGAAGCAGGCCTCCCGCAGAGCAGGGAGCCCGATGACGACGTGGGGTCACTACCCGAGCCAAAGGCAGATGCTCAACGACTGAGCCACCCAGGCGCCCCACATTTCCTTTTCTTGAAAATGCATGTGTCCATGGGGTAGTTGGGCTAACTCATCTCAGGTCATTTCCAGCTCCAGGTCCTGGGTTTTGGAAAGAGGCTCCAGGGAGGGGAGATGGGGGTGCTGTAGTTTGCTTCGTTGTGAGTGAGTGGTGAATAAGTTCAGGTACAGAGCTAAGACCACCCCTCACTGCCGTAGAGGCATCTGGTCAGACCTTTGTCAGTGGACAGGCCCAGACCCCCAGCCTTCCCTGGATGCAGCAGGCACAAGTCCCTGCTACGGGAATCATGCTTTGCCCATGCTCAAGGCTTTAAACTTTCCAGAGCCCCTTCCTGCCCATGATTTCCATCCAACTAGGAGGAAGGAGGCAGGGGTGCAATTCCCATTTCACAGGTCAAGCAGCCAAAGATAACTGAGACTGGGCATCTTATCTTATGTTCAGCATTTTACAACCTAACACTGTTTTGTACCCTGGGAAGCAGGAGGCATTAGTAGCTCCAGGGAGAAGCTGAGGCACAGAGGGAGGATGTGATCTGCCCAAGATCATACAGGGAGATGTATGACCAAGGCTGGTGATCATTGCTCTCTTCTCTGCAGCCTTGACTTTCCGCAGTACTGCCCAACCGAGGAGCTGGGTGCCCCTTGGTGGGGGGGGGGGCGAAGGGGCTCAGTGGTGGGTGCAGTCCCCTCTGGCAAGCTGCTTTCAGGCGCCCAGGCGGGGTTTCAGTGGCTGCGTTTCAGTAACAGCTGTGGTTTTGAACTGCTTCCCTCCCAGAGGAGCCCGAGTGCATCTGTCTGTAGCTCCCTCCCAGAGGGGCTCAGTGATCACAGCAAGAATGCTTCTCTTTTACTGAATGCCACTCGTGTGCCAGGCACTGCTTGGCACTCTTCACATTCGTTATCTTGGCCAAGATGCCTGGGATGAGGCATCTTACAGATGAGGAAACTGAGCAGAGACGTGAAGTCACTTGTCCAAGTCACAAGCCAAGAAGTGGGAGAGTCTCCTTGCATCAGACTCCCCTAAAGGCCTGCCAGGCCGAGAGCCCCCTCTGCCGTCAGATGCCCCATGGCCCCCAGCCCCATGGGCAGGCCTGGCCCCCTGCTTACTCATTTTACCAGGGTGTGACCTGGAGCAGCTCCAAACCCAACCCTGGGTGTGGCTGCTTGGTTTGTGGCCAGGCTGCAAAGTGCAGGGTGAGTAGGATTTGTTGGGGAGCTGCTGTTTAAAGGGACCTCAGGGATGGCAACCAAGTTCAATGGCAGAATGAAGGCCTGAGCCCTGGTCTCCTCACTCCCTGTCTGGGGCTCTTTCCAGCACCCTCTGGGGAAGGCTTGGGATTCTCTATGGAGTCCCTAGGCCAGCCAGGTACATCACGTGATTCTGTCTCATTCCTATGGGAATCTGTGAAGAGGGTGGGATTCGGCACAGTTCTCCTTCCTTCTGTCTGTCTTTTCCAAAGTCCCCTGAGAACCATGAAAGCAAAGGAACATTTTAAGGAACAACTATCCAAGACGGGGTCAGATGTGGAAATGCAGGCTACGGAGTGGTAGAGCTGGGATCTAGAACACTTGCTCCTACCCCCACCGTCTAAATTTAGGACTTTGGGCTAACCTGGCTCCATTCCCTGTGTGACCTTGGGCAAGTCACTCCCCCTCCTTCGAGCCCCATCTTCGTCACTTTGCTGCCCAGAGTGGGGCTGTGTCTGGTGGTCTCCAGCCCTCTCACTTCTGGGGCTGCCTGAGGAGGGAGCTTCACTCTTCTCCCTTGGGGTTGGCCAGGGGAACCTGAATCCTAATCAGGCCTTTAAGAAACAGCCAAAGGGGCTGCCTCCTAAGAGGGTCCAGGTTAGAGCCAGACTGGCCTTTGTTCTTGGCACATCCCCGTCTCTTCAGCTTACCTCTAATCTTTCCCCTTGCTGGCGCCCCTGGAATTTTGGTGATACCGGCTTCCTTGTGTGAGCAAAGCGCTTTGCTGCACTGCCCCTGAGTCCCCGGCCGGGGTGGAGCAGATTATGCCCATTTTACAGGTGGGGCTCCAGAGGTCAACCGACTTGCTGAGCTCACCCAGCTAAGAAGGCGGGAGGCCTAGAGGGGAACCCAGGGAGGTCTGACTCCAAGGCCTTTGCTCAGGCTCTCCTTGGCCCGCATCTTTCTGGGCTTGTCCTCTGCCACCTCTGTTCTGTAGGCTCAGGCCCATCCATGGGCTGTGCCCCAAGTTGTCAGGGAGATACCCTTGGATGAGGGACATTTTGCTGCTTGGGGACACTTGAAGTCCTGGGTAAGGGGAGGGACCGTAAGGGAAGGGAGGGGACTGGTCTGTGTATATAAAGTAATGGGGGCCGGTGGGCACAGCCAGGCCTTGGCTCAAGTTCCAGCAAAATCTGGGGGAATGTGTGCGAAAGAGCTGAGACGGCCTGGCACATGGCTTTGGAGTCAGACAATCCTGGGTTCAAAGTCTGGCTCTGCCCTTTGTCTGTGTGACCTAGGGCTCATGGCTTACCCTCTCTGAGTCTCCATTTCTCTTCTGCCAAGAGTAATTGCCAGTGCTGATGGCTCAGGACTGATGAGCACGTGATAGGCCCAGTGCAGATACTCTGTTCAAGGTCCTTCCTTCTCCCCGCTCTGCAGGTAGTGAGGTTCTTCCTCGTGTTCTGTGACCTCAGCAGGGCCTGGCTCCTGTCAGGTGGGAGAGGTGGATGGGGTTGGGGAGACTCTGGGTCACTCCGCCTGTGCCTCGGGTAGAACTCAGCTTGACTTCTCTTCCTCTTGCTGCTCTTGGCATTCCTTCTTGCGGGATGGATGAAGGGTCCTGGGATGGACAACTTCAGTCGGGATTGATAAAGACGTTGGAGCTCACCAAGTCCCAGTTACTCCAGCTGTTAAATGGGGCTTGGTGGTGCTAGGGAGACTCAGTGAGGTGATGAATGTTGGGGCTCGGCCCAGGGCATGTGGAAGATCTCAGTGAATGACTGGGCCTTTATCTAGAGACAAGATAGGTCACAGTCCCTAGAATCTAGGATCTCACCAGCTGAGAGGTTAGAAAAAGAATATTCCAGAGAGACTTCAAGAGGAATGAGCAGGGAAGTGTTTGGATCATGTCCAGGTCTGGATAGGGGTGGAAGAGAGGAGCATCGTATCCAGGCTCCTCACACCAAGGAACGGGTCTCCTGGAAGCAGTCCAGGAGGACTTCCTGGAGGACGCAGCGGTGGGGAGGCGAGCTGATAGCCAGAAGAGCTGTCACCACTTCCCACACCTGTCTGCCCAGCTGTGCTCAGCAGCAGTTAGAAGTCTCAGCCCTGCTGAGCATGACCTCACTGTCAAACGTTAAAATAGGCCTCTCTGTCCCAACCAACTTAGGGGTGTCTGGGTGATTAGGGGAGAGGGAGAGGAAGGAAATGGGCTCAGGGGCCCCCTGAAGGGTGTGTCAAGGAAGAGGCCAAGCCTGGATTTCAGGGAAGGGACTCTGCATTTTCTGAACACCTATGTGTGCTGAGCCACAGGCTGAGCACTTTGCAGGAGTTACCTCCTTGATTCCTCACCGTGGTCCCTCAAGGCAGGTGTTTTCTGCCACATTTTACAGAGGAGGAAACTGAGGCTCCTAGATGTGGAGTACTTCCCCAAGTCTCACACAGACACACACACACACACACACACACACACACACACAGTGAGCCCACAAAGGAGCTGGGAGAGGCAAGCCCAGGCCTCCGACCTATGCCCCAGTGCCCCAGTACCCTAGCCCTGCCCCTGCCCAGCCCTAACAGGAGAGAGGCCCCTTCCGGGCCAGTGCAGCTTCTCGGCCTAATTGGGGCCTGGTGGCAGTGGGGTGGAGAAGAGCAGATGGGTCTGTGGTTTGATTTCCCCAGCAGGTGTTTCCCAAGCTTGGCGGGAACAGGCAGGGGGAGCAGGGGGACCTCAGCTGTTTGTCCTTGAGATGCAGGGGAAGGATTCATTGTCTGCCCCTCTCAGCAAAGAAAGAATGGCAAATGGAGTCTATTCAGGAGGCCCTGGGGCCCTTGAGTGGGAGCCCAAACATGGGGGTGGGGAATGTTGGCTCTGCCTCCCGATGTGGGCACCTCCCTGGGGTGTGGCACTGAGCCAGGAAGTCTCCTGGGCCGGGGCGGATGCCCAGCCCCACCCTGATAAGGGCCAGCTGGGGGGCTGTGATGGGCACCAGGGCCCGCCGGGCCAGCTGCTCTTGCACTTGGCGCGGGAGGCTCTCCCCAGCCTGATGTGGTTTAGGTCCTACCCACTCCTTCCTCCCTGCATCGTCCTCTGGGCATGGGGGTTGGGGGACGGCGGATGTACAAGTGACCTTGGGGCCCATTATTAAGGAACCCTGAGCTCTTGGCCAGACTGGCTTCAGTGATCTTCAGGTACCTGCACCTCAGGATGAGAGTGTCGTGTGCTCTTCAGAAAACAGGGCCCCCCTTCCCCCCGAAAGCTCACTCGGCGAGCTGAACTGTTTCCTCACCAAGGGCAGTGACGTGGCACCAGGACTGGTGGTAAACTGAGGCACAGAAAGCGGCTGCTGGTGGCCTCCGTGCTTTGGCCCCGACTCGGGGAAAGACTGAAGGAGGAATGATTCTCAAACTCTGCCTCTCTCGCTCCTCTCTCCAAGGCCAAAAGGAAGCTGGACCTGGAGGGGATCGGGAGGCCAGCAGTCCCTGAATTCCGGACTCCCAAGGGCAAGTGCATTAGAGTGGACGGCCTCGCCAGCCCCAGAAGTAAGCCGGGCTGATGGGGCATCTAAGGGCAGGCTCGGGAGGGGGGCGGGGGGCGGACAGGGGCAGAGGGCAGCAACCCTACTCGCATCAGCAGGAGTGATATTTGCAGCACACTTCCCCGTTTACAAAGCAGGCTCCTCTGCGTTCTTTCACGGAACTCTGCCGTGCTTAGCACTGTCCCCCTTTCACTGATGAGGCGGTTTGAGACTCAGAGCTTGAGTGACTTGCCCAAGGTCACACTGCTGGTCGGGGAGGGGCGGGGGGAGTGTCAGGACTCAAACCCAAGCGGGCCCTGCATCTCCCACACCATACACCACTCTCGTGACCAGAATGTGATGACTGGTGTTTTACTTGGGAGCTTACTCATTTTTTTAAAAAGTTTATCTTGAGTTCAGTCTGACCTTTTCTAAAAGAGAGAATCCAGCTCCGAGAGGAACAGGGTGAACCAGGGTCTTTGTCCCACAGGCAGAGAGCTGAATGAGTGATTCCAAGGGAAGTGAAGCTTGGATTAGTCTAAACCTCAGTGTGCCTCAGAGGTTAAGATCCAGAGGCCACCAGGGTGGTGTCTTTCGAAAGCGAAGCTGCAGGGAATTTCCACTTCTGCTCCTGATATGTTCAATCAATATCCTGGTTCCAGCTGGAGTTTTAGAAACTTATGTTAGGGAGGAACAATAATTTGGGGGGTCAGAGACCTCATGAAGAAGGTTATGTCACTGGGTGCAAAGCGTGAGGATCAGGAATTTGGGGGTCTGGACAGGGCCCTGGCCACTCCTTTTTTTTTTTTTTTTTTTTTAAAGATTTTATTTATTTATTTGAGAGAGAGAGAATGAGATAGAGAGAGCATGAGAGAGGGGAGGGTCAGAGGGAGAAGCAGACTCCCTGCTGAGCAGGGAGCCCGATGCGGGACTCGATCCCGGGACTCCAAGATCATGACCTGAGCCGAAGGCAGTCACTTAACCAACTGAGCCACCCAGGCGCCCCCTGACCACTCTTCTTGTGAGCCTTAGCTGTCTCATCTGTAAAACAAAGCACAGCTAGATCAGGAATAATAGCAAGAGAGCTGGCCCTCCTGTTGATGGGTAGAAGCTGCCTGGAGCATTTTATTGAGAGATACTATGCACTGATCATTTAGCAGTGTCTGCCAAGGGGGCAAAACCTGACCCAAACCGCCTGTGTGCCAAATGTGAAGGGGTCCTAAAGTCCCCTTCTGGAGGAATCTGAGGCTCTCCAAAACTCAGTTTCCAGAACTTCTTTGGCCGCTGGCTTGCTGTATGACTTGCAAGTCACTTGATTGCCAAAGTCCACTCGTGGTTTAAGATACTGCAGCTGGGATGTGGTCTTGTGACATCAGCCTCATTAAGAAAGGATCTTTTTTTCACGAACCTGCCCCATTTGATATTATAGGACTGATTCCTTTCAGATAATCATTAGGCTACACGTGGAAAGAAAATGCAAGTGGAAAAATGTGCTCGAATCCCAGCCCATCATTCCGTTTCTCTCTTACCCTAATTCCAGATTCCTGGCATAGCTGGCAGGAGAGGGTAATGGTTAAGAAGAAAGACTCTGGAGCCAGGCTGCCTGGATTTAAATCCCAGCTTTGTCACTTTCTAGCTGAGTGAGCTGGGCGAGTTACTTTACCTGTCTGTTCCTCCGTAGTCTCATCCATTAAATGGGGATGGTTGTATAGCAGCTTATAGGGTGTTGTAAGGATTGCATTTGTTGTATATGGGAAGTGCTTCGAACAGTGACCTACACACAGTATTTGTCATTGGTGGTGGGCGGGGGGGTGTTGATATGGCTGCCCTAAGCTATGGTGGAAAGGTGCTCTGAACCAGGAGTTAGAAGATGCTTGGTTTCCAGTCCTGCCCCTGCCCCTGACTGTGAGACCTTAAGCTAGTCATGTTCCCTCTCCAGGTATCAGGTTCCCCGCCTGGACGGGGCTGGCGAACGACCTCCTGCCTCGCAGTGCTCCGTAAACTGGAAAGTGGTTACTCCTGCGTTCATGTGAAGGGTGGTACTTAAGAGGTCCAGATCCGTGGACGAGGGTCCCCAGGCTGGCTCTCCCTGAGTGGTGACCGGGCCCCTTTTCCCCTTAGCACCCAAGTCCCCCGGAGAGAAGACTCGGTATGACACGTCACTGGGGCTGCTCACCAAGAAGTTCGTTTACCTCTTGAGCGAATCCAAGGATGGGGTCCTGGACCTGAACTGGGCCGCCGAGGTGCTGGACGTGCAGAAACGGCGGATCTATGACATCACCAACGTGCTGGAGGGCGTCCAGCTCATCCGGAAGAAGGCCAAGAACAACATCCAGTGGGTGTGAGTGCCTGTGCTGGGGCCAATGGCACCTGTGGGTGCCTGTGCTGTGGGTGAAGGTGGGGGGTGCACTGTCCAGCCGGTGTGTGTCGGGGCTGGAGCCGAGACATGTGAAGGCCTAAGAGGACCCAGATCCTCTTGAGTTGGGGATCCCAAGATTCTCCTCTTCTAGCTTAGGAAAGTCCCCTGGGAGCTGGGCTGTAGCAACTGATCCTCCTTCCAGCTCTGCTCTCCGAGTCCTCCAGGCTCCTTTCCTCCTACGAAGATCAGAGCAGACCTGCAGAGAACCCAGGCAAGGCATCTGGGGCAGGCTGGGGTGTAGCGTGGACCCCAGCCTGCCCCAAATGCCTTGCCTTTTGGGAGCCCCTCAAAAGTGGGGTCAGGCTTGACTTGTTTCTTTTCCCTAGCCCAACCCCCGAACTTCAGTTTCCAATTCCTAGCAGCTCCCTGGAAGGCAAGACCACTGATTTGCACAGCCCAGGGGGCACCGTTGTGGAACACACCAATGGCCGCATTCTGGGGTTTCGCACCATCTGTGCGGGTCTGCGCTGTAGCCCTGGGATTGGGCCCCTGGATGTGGACTGAGACTGACACTGGGGGACTGCTCTGTTCCCAGAGGCAGGGGAATGTTTGAAGACCCCACCCGGCCCGGGAAGCAGCAACAGCTGGGGCAGGAGCTGAAGGAGCTGATGAGCACAGAGCAGGCCTTGGACCAGCTCATCCAGAGCTGCTCTCTGAACTTCAAGCACCTGACCGAGGACAAGGCCAACAAGAGATATCCTGTCTGGTGGGGGGAAGCGGTCAGGGAGCAGGGCCCTGTTGCATGCTCATAGCCATCCTGAGTTCGGATAGAATCTCCCGGCAGGGGGAGCTCACCCTCGGGGTCTGGCATGTCTGTTTCTGCCTTCCTCGGTGGCTTTTCCTCACAAGTCTATCGAAGCCACTCTCATTAGAAAAGTAAATCCATTTCTTTAAATCTGGAAAATGGAGGGATGCCTGGGTGGCTCAGTTGGTTCATCGGCTTTTGGCTCAGGTCATGATCCTGGGGTCCTGGGATCAAGCCCCACGTCGGGCTCCTTGCTCAGCAGGGAGTCTGCTTCTCCCTCTCCCACTCCCCCTGCTTGTGCTCTTTCTGCCTCTCTCTGACAAATAAATAAATAAAATCTTTAAAGCAAAACAAAAGTCTGGAAAATGGAGAAAAGAAAGAAACAGTTGCCACCCCAACATAGCCCTTGTTTCTTACCCATACACAGGGTACGTGTTGTTAAATATAGTTGTGAGCTGTTATACACAACATTTTATATCCTGCTTTCCCCCACTTAGTATATCACCATAGACAGGTTTTCTTTTTTTTAAGATTTTATTTATTTATTTGACCAAGAGCCGGAGAGAGAGTGAGAGAGAGCACAAGCAGGGGGAGCTGCAGAGGGAGAGGGAGAAGCAGGGTCCCCACTGAGCAAGGAGCCTGATACAGGGCTCGATCCCAGGACCCGGGGATTGTGACCTGAGCGGAAGGCAGACGCTTAACCGACTGAGCCACCCGGGCGCCCCTACCATAGACAGTTTTTAATGTTGCTACAGATCCTCCCTATTTGCTTGATCCACATGGAATTGTTGCTATTGGACCACTTTTTACAAAAACAGCAACCTCATGTGATTTAACCTCATATTTAGAATGATTTGAGACGGTCCTGCTCAGACTACATTCTGGTTTGTTGAGAAGGCCTAGAATCAACATTTAGATCGGTTCGAGATTTTTGCTTTTATAAAGCAGGATTGTGATGAATATCTTTGTATAGAGAACATTTTCCTATATTTTTTACTTATTTCCTTAGATTCCTAGGATTGAAATTACAAACATGGATTTTGCTAAGGCTTTTCATACATTTTTCCCAAATGGTTCCACCATCTCATTGGCTTTTGGATCTCACTTTGTATTTTTGGAAGGATGCTAGGCATTGTGAGAAATATAAAGAAATAAGACAGGTCTTACTACCTGCTCAGAGATAATGATCTAGTCTGAGAGGTAAAGTCTTTTTTTTAAGATTTCATTTATCTTTTTGAAAAAGAGAGACAGCACAAGCGGGCAGCGGGGGAGAGGGAGAGGGAGAAGCAGACTCCCCGCTGAGCAGGGAGCTCAGCATGGGGCTGGATCCCAGGACCCCAAGATCATGACCTGCACCGAAGTCAGACGCTCAGCCCACTGAGCCACCCAGGCGCCCAAGATAAAGTCTAAAAAGTTGACAGGAGGCAGCTTTTTAAAAATTGGTTAAAAAAATGATTTATACTCCCATTCGTTTTCTAAAGGTATCCAAGGTAGCTTATGATACTGAAAGAACAGGTTATCGTTTTTGGTTATTTCCAAGCTGTGTAAGGAATGAGAAAGACATGTTCCGAGGCTTCACCTGGCAGGCTAGGGGTTTGAATTTTGACCAGTTACTTCTCTTGACTCTCCTGCCCCTACACTGGCCTATGTGACTTACCAGGACATCCGTGCCGTTGGCAACTTTAAGGAGCAGACGGTGATCGCGGTCAAGGCCCCTCCACAGACAAGACTGGAAGTGCCCGACAGGAGCGAGGTGAGAGGGGCAGCATTTGGTGGAGAGCAGATTATGGAGGGTCCCAGGCTGCTCTGTAGGCTCTGTCCCTGGTGCTACCTGGCCACAAGCTTCCCTGAACCATTCTGGCGCCCATGGCAAGATTGGTGGTCTCTGAGCTGGGGCAGCGACGGCAGGAGCTAGAAAGGACAACAGACATCAGCTACTGGCCCAAGAAAATCTCCGCTCTTGCCACCTTTCTGCACCCACCAGCCCCTGCCCTCCTGTGCCCGCACACCATGGTATTAGTGCTCACCATAATCCTTTCCTGCTAATCATGCTCGCCGAGTTAAAGACCCAAATTCTTACTACTTCCTAATGAGACCTTCTGTGCTCTGACCTCACCAGCCTCTTCTCTCATGCTGCCCCATTGTGCCTTTGACTGAGCCACGGTGACTTCTCTACAGTGTCGCCACCACACTAAGCTTGTCCCCAGTATAAGACCTCCTGCTGCTACTCTCTTCAGCTGAAATGCTCTTCCCTTTTTCTGCCTGGTTTACTGCTATTCGTCCTACAGGTCTCAACTCAGAGGTCACTTCCTCAAGGAAGCCTTCCCTGATTACACCCCCTTCCCCTCCCTCCCCCGCCCCAGTTTCATAACTACCTGTGCTTTTCTACTGCACTTAACATCCGTTTGCTCGGAGATATTGGTGATTATGTGATTATGTTGTGCTTCATCTATTAGAGGATAAGCTCCACAAAAGCATGCTGCGCTCCTGGGGTACCTCCAGCCCAGAGCTGGACACATATAAGGGCTCAAGAAATAATTTGTTTAATGGAAGGATATTAAGATAAATGGGGCCCCACCCCTGCCTTGAAGGAGCTCAGGACCTAGTGGGAAAAAGATCCAAGCAAGGAGTCATGTTGCCATTTATAGACTTAAGATGCTTTGAGGGCCCAGAGAAAGGACAGTTGGAGGAAGAGCCCATAGATGGTTACAGGTATTGGGTCCTAAAGAATGAACAGGATTTTTGTCAGGGGAAATAGGGGTAGACAGAGGGCCCTGCAGGTGAACCAGGGAGGAGACTTGAGTGCGTGTTGGAATGGCAGGTGTGTATTGATGGTGGGAGGGAAGAAGCAGGGGTGGGAAGGCCAAGTATCGGGACTCTTGGTTGTAAGTCACAAAAGCCAAATCCAAATGGCTTAAGTCAGGGCTGGGGAGTGGAGGGGACTATGGGGAACCAAGTGACAGGTGCAGAGGGAAGATTTGGAAGTTGCAGGCAGGGCTAGACGCAGGAGCTCCAACTATGACTTTCGCTTCACCCCGTGCTCTCTGTCTTCCTCTGCCATTCTCTGTGCTGTTTCCATTCCCAGGCGGGTTCCCCTCTTCCAGTGGCAAAGGTAGCTTCCATGATCCCAGCTCGGCGACCCCTGTGGGAAGGGAGCTTTCATTTCCAAGTCCAGCACGAGTCCTGGGTCTGATGCTAGCGGACTGAGCTGAGTCATGTGCTTCCCTGAACTAGTCACCATCATTGTGACTTTCCCAGCCTGCACCCCAAGCTCACCCACTGGAGTTGGGAAAGATGTTGTCCCCCCAAACTACATGACTTGAGAGTGGGAGAGGAGTGGTTTCCCAAAGGAAAATCAAGATATTCTCCCTCAAAGAAGGGAGCCTGGGGGCCAGACAGGCGGAAAGAGCAGATGCCCTCCACGGTCAGATGGGGCAGGTGTTGGGGCCCAGCTCAGGAGTTGAGCTTGCTCACACAGATGGTGGGAGCCCTGGGTGTCCCCATCCATACACCCCACCCCATGAGTCAGTGCCCAGCTGCCCAGAGCCATGACCTGGCTTCTCTTCTTCCTCTAGGAGAACCTGCAGATATATCTGAAGAGCACCCAGGGGCCCATCGAAGTCTACCTGTGCCCAGAGGAGGTGCAGGAGCTGGACAGTCCTGCCAAGGAGCCCCTCCCCCCGACCTCCACCCTTGGCCCCAGCCCTGACTCCACCCAGCCCGGCAGCAGCACTGACCCTGGGATGATAGAACCCATGGCATCCCAAGGTAGGACCCTCTATCCAGAGCGACAGGAGGTGGGGAGAGAAACCAGCCTTAGAGTTTCCTTTTCCGTGGCAACATCGGTTGGGCAGCGAAGGGACAGCTCACACTTTACACTTTATAAAGCAAGTGCGTGTGTTCTTGTCTCAGTGGGGGGCTGATGTGCTCTGGGGCGGAGGGGTCCTGGGTTTGAATCCCCACGCTTCCAGTTACCAGCTGTGTGACCTTGGACAAGTCACTTAACCTCTCTTTGCCTTAGCCTCACCTGTAAGTTGGGCGCAGTAACTAACAGTGTCTACTTCGTAGGTTGTGAGGATTGAGTGAATTCGTGTAGGTAAAGCCCTTGGGACGGTGCCTCGCAGTAACTGCTGACTATTCTTGTCGCCGTTAACCTCCTGCTACTGCTAGAACCACACTGCTATGCTGACTACCAACAGCAAAGCCCCTGGCCCTCAGTAAGCCCGCAGTAAATGGGAACTACAGATTTTTGAAGGAAGGCTCAACTAAGATTTTTTATTTATTATTTATTTATTTTTTAAAGATTTTATTTATTTATTTGACAGAGAGAGACCAGCGAGAGAGGGAACACAAGTGGAGGGGTGGGGGAGAGGGAGAAGCAGGCTCCCTGCAGAGCAGGGAGCCCGATGTGGGGCTAGATCCCAGGTCCCTGGGATCATGACCTGAGCCGAAGGCAGACGCTTAACGACTGAGCCACCCAGGCGCCCCTAAGATTTTTTAAATCACAACTATGTACTAGGTACATCTATGTTATCACGTTACTGCTCGCAGCAATTCTTGTAGGCCTTACTGTTCCCAGTTTAGAGATGAATAAACTGAAGCAGAGAGGTTGATGGGACTCACCCAAAGTCTCCTAGTTGGGAGGCAACGGAACTGTGTCTTGACCCTCAGTCCCCACAATCCTAGCCCAGTCCTCTCTCCAGGAGGCTTGGAACAGATCAAGGAAAGGGCTCCTGACCGGAGCAGCTCCCCCCTAGCTGGGAGGTGGACCGTACAGCTGAAGCAGGCTATACCTGGCAGGAAGTAGCATGAGGTAGTCACCAGGGAGCAAAGAGGTGGGAGAGATCCCAGGGAAGGAGTCCAGAAGGAGTAGAAATGGGAGCCTGGGAAGGCCCTTCCCCCAGGATGGTTTTTGCCCTTTACGGGGATCACACATCAGGTCGGACTGACAGATCCTTCGAGGCTATGGAGGCCAGTGTTCAACTTTCTGTTTTTTTAGCAGCAGAATTCCCTTAAGTAGAACTCTGGTGTTTAAACAAACCAGAGCTCAAACTGGTCTCATGGAAGAGGCTTGGTGGGGCGTCCACAGAACACAGGCCGGATTCCATTTCTTTAACTCAAGGGTCCACAAACTATTGCCTACAGGCAAAATTTGGCCTGTTTTTAGGTGGCTCATGAGCTAAGGATGGTTTTCATATTTTTCAAGAGTTGGGGGGCAAGAAGAAAGTGACTGTGTGACAGAGACTGTAAGTATCCTGCAAGTCCTAAAATGCCATTGGCCGTTTACAGAAGTTTGCTGAGCCCTGATCTAACTCAGCCCTTCATTTCACACATGAATAAGCTGAGGTTCAGAGAGGGCGACTGACTTCCTTAAGGTCACCCAGCAAGTTGGAGGCAGAGCTTGGACAAGAGCCCAGACCCCCGGCTCTTCTCTGGTGATCTCTCCTGTGTCCTGGTCTGGTCAAGGGACACAGGCTTCTCCTTGCACCAACCATCTGTCCCTCCAGGCCCCTCCCAGTGCCTATCTCCCATGCCAGACCTGTGCCCCACCCTGTTTACCCTCCTGCTTCGCTCTGCCTTCTCACTCCACTGTCAACATGCGCACAGTTCTCCCGGTTAGAACCACTTTCACTTCAGATGTCCTCTGAGACCGGGGGCAGAGGTGGGGGACCCTCCAGCATAAGCAAGGGTGAGGTTTTTACCTCGGTTTTACGGATCAGTTGTGCTCCCAGAAGGAGTAGAGGCTGACAGAGTGCTTGGTGGTGAGGCCAGCCCAGGAGCCAGCTCTGTGCCAAGGATGCCCCTCTCCACCCTTGCCATGTGGTCTCTTAGTGATGTCCTTGCCAAAGGGAACAGAAGGACGTTTCCTGGAAGGTGTACACACACACACACACACACACACACTCACATACACTCTCACACACACTCATACACCCTCACACTCTCTCTCACGCTCACATACTTTCTCATACACACCCTCACCCTCACACACACACACTCACATACTCTCACACACCTTCACATGCTCTCTCACACACCCGCACACACTCTCACACACATACACATCCTCACACACACACTCACATACTCTATCTCACACACACTCATTCTCTCTCACACACACACTCACATACTCTCACACACCCTCACACACACTCACATACTCTCACACACTCACACACACTCACATACTCTCTCACACGCAAACACCCTCATATTCTCACACACACTCTCACACACTCACATACTCTCACACACACCCTCACACACACACACTCACATACTCTCACACCCTCCCACTCACACACATTCTCTCTCACACACACTCACATACTCTCACACACACACCCCCTCACACACACACACTCACATACTCTCTCACACACACACCCCCTCACACACACACTCACATACTCTCTCACACACACACACCCTCACACTCTCACACATTCTCTCTCACACACACTCACATACTCTCTCACACACACACCCCCTCACACACACACTCACATACTCTCACATGCACACACCCTCACACTCTCACACACACTCTCTCTCTCACACACACTCACATACTCTCACACACATACTCTCACACACACCCTCACACACACACTCACATACTCTCTCACACACACACACCCTCACACTCTCACACACACTCTCTCATACATACTCACATACTTTCTTACACACACACTCTCACACAAACCCTCACACACATACACACACACATACTCACACACACACACCCCCTCACACTATCACATACTCTCTCACACACATACTCACATACTCTCTCACACACACCCTCACACACACTCACATACTCTCACACACTCACACGCACACAGCCTCACACTCTCACACACACTCATACGCTCTCACACACACTCACATGCTCTCACACACATACACACACACACACTCACACACACTCTATCTCACACACACACGCTCCATGTTCTGGCCTGAAGCAGAGCCCTTTTGAGGTCTGAGCGCCCGGGGCCACACCCAGTCTGGGGACCCAGGTTTTGGCATCACCAGGGGGAATCACTAACCCTTTGGGGCCTCAGTTTCTCTCATCTGTCACTGAGGGGCTTTTGGACAAGGGTTGTCTCTAACACCTCTCCAGGCTCTCACATTCTGAGGTAAACGTAAGTGTCGCTACCACGCAGGAGCCGACACTGGAAGACGGGGGCTTGTGTTTGCACCTCGCCTACCGTGACTTGGTGACTGGAGGCGGGTCACTTCGGCCCCTCAGAGCCACTGTCCTCACGTCTCTAAAACTGGGACCCTTGGGCGCCTGGGTGGCTCAGTCGTTAAGCGTCTGCCTTCGGCTCAGGTCATGATCCCAGGGTTCTGGGATCGAGCCCCACGTCAGGCTCCCTGCTCGGTGGGAAGCCTGCTTCTCACTCTCCCACTCCCCCTGCTTGTGTTCCTGCTCTCGCGATCTCTTTCTGTCAAATAAATAAAATCTTTAAAAAATAATAATAAGGGCGCCTGGGTGGCTCAGTTGGTTAAGCGACTGCCTTCGGCTCAGGTCATGATCGTGGAGTCCTGGATCGAGTCCCGCATCGGGCTCCCTGCTCAGTGGGGAGCCTGCTTCTCCCTCTAACCCTCCCCCCTCTCATGTACTTTCTCTCTCTCATTCTCACTCTCTCAAATAAATAAATAAATCTTTAAAAAATAATAATAATAAAAATAAAACTGGGACCCTTAAAACTCCCTCACGACTCCTGGGTGGGTTACAGGCAGTGAGACAGCGTGAATGTGATTTTTTAAAAAGCTTATGCAGACCGGGCGCCTGCCCTGTGTGGTTCGGAGATTCAGAAGCGAGTCTGAGCCCACGGAGTGTGGCGCAGGCCCCGACCCGAGAGAGAGCCGCTCGCTCCTGGGTGTGATGAGCAGCGCAAGAGAGCGAGGGCCACCCGCGGCAGAGGCTTCGGCGCCTGTTCTCCTTGCTGTTCGGCGCATCAGGGAGGTGGTGCCTTATTTTTGCTCCCGAGAAAACTGAGGCTCCAGGTCGTACAGCTGGTGCGGGTGGGGCTGGGGTCCGAGCCCGGGGCCTCCCCCTCTTCCCAAGCCAGAACCCCTGCAGGCCTCAGCAACCCGCTAAAGAAACATGCCATTCTTTTCGTTCACATACATTTAATTGGCTCCTTTGAGCCTCAGTTTCCTCATCTGTAAATGGGGTCCCCATATTGCCTCCTGTGGGGCCACTTGAGGAGGTGAAACATGCCTCTCCTTGAGAGCAGAGCCGGCCGTGGTAAGCCCTTGGTAAACTGGAGCTCTGCTTATTGAGAAGGGTTCTCCCCCTGCACCTGTCACTGAACCCTCTCAGCAACCCTGCGAGGTGGGGAGAATCGTCCCCATTTTAGAGGTGAGGAAGCCGAGGCTCGTCCACGTTAAGTCACTTGCCCACAGATACACAGTGAGTAAGAGGCTGATCAGGCAGGCGGGCACACCACACAGCTCTATTTTCCAAGGAATGCTTGGTCGGGGTTTAAGGCATCAGGATATATTTGGGGGGATTTCCGGTGCCCTATTCTCGTCCCTGTGTAGGAAGGCAACCTCCGGCCTCTAAGGAGAAATGCACTTGGTGTGCTCGAAACAGCCGAGAGGCTGTTTAAATAAAATCTTAAAAAAAAGGAAAGAAACAGCCGAGCCAGTGTAGATGGAGAGGCTGAGTGTCAGTGGAAGGAGGCGGGACAGAGGGAGCAGAAAGGCAGCAGGCGCTAGATCGTCAGGGCCTTCTCGGTGCTGGCCAAGCCATTTTTAAGCTAGACCACAAGCGTTGCAAGGTGACTGGTAAGAAAGCCCCAGCAACGGTCTCAGTGGGGACGACGGGCTAGACCAGGGTCACAGTAGTGGAACTGAACGGGCAGCTTGCAGAATTCATTTGGTTGTGGAAATGACAGATCTCACTGCTGGACTGGGTGCTGGGGAAATGGCAGGTTTTTTTTTTTTTTTTTTTTTTAAAGATTTTATTTATTTATTTGCGAGAGAGAATGAGAGACAGAGAGCACGAGAGGGAGGAGGGTCAGAGGGAGAAGCAGACTCCCCACTGAGCAGGGAGCCCGATGCGGGACTCGATCCCGCCCGGGACTCCAGGATCATGACCTGAGCCGAAGGCAGTCGCTTAACCGACTGAGCCACCCAGGCGCCCTTGTTTTTGTTTTTTAAGATTTTATTTATTTGTTTGACAGAGAGAGTGAGAGAGCACAAGAAGGGGGAGGGCAGAGGCAGAGGGAGAAGCAGGCTTCCCGCTGAGCAGGGAGCCCGAGGTAGGGCTCGATCCCAGGACCCTGGGATCATGACCTGAGCCAAAGGCAGACGCTTAACCGACTGAGCCCCCCAGGTGTCCTGGAAATGGCAGGATTCTGTGTGATTCTTGGGCCTTTTGGCTTAGGCAGCTGAGTGGTTGGTGGTCCATTAACTGAGCAGGGAAGACCAGGAGTTTGGTTTTGACATGCTAAGTTCTGGAGTAGCTGAGACATCCAAGCAGAGGTGTTGCAGGAGCCCAGAGCTCAGGGGTGAGGTCTGTGCCAGAGGCATCTGCTGTGCGTGGCAGGTCTAAGAGATTTAAAGCCGAGGGGTGGCTGTGGTTGCCTGGGAAGATGTGCAGCCAGAGAGAGGAGTCTGAGGGTGGAGCCCTGGGGCCTTGAGGGCTTAGAAGTGAGGAAGAGGAGGAGGATCCAGCAAAAGAGACAGAAGAGAAGCAGCCAAGGAGGTAAGAAGAAAACCAGGAGAATCTAGCGTACTGGAGCCAAGTGAAGAAGGTGTTTCCAGAAGGTGTGAATAATGGCACCAGATTCTGCTGGAGGGTCAAATAAGATGAGGCTGAGAACTGACCATTGAGTCCAGCAATAGGAGGTCATGGGCTGAGTGGCTTTGTGGGGACAGCCCCCAGGTTGGAGTGGGTTGAAGAGTGAATTGTGGTGGGGAAGTAGAGGGTGAGCACAGGAATTCTTGAGAAATTTTGCTATGAAAAGGAGCAGTACACTGGGCTGGGAATTCGAGAGGGTCATGAGGTCGGGGAGGATGCTTTTTAAAGATAGGAGTCATTAGAATGTGTCTGCCTGATGATGGGAATGATCTGTGAGAGAGAGAAATTGGTGATGCAGGAAACAGAGGATGTGGTTTCAGGGGCCAGAGGCTGGAAGGTGAGAAGGGCGAGGGTTTTTTGTTTTTTTAAAGATTTTTATTTTTAAATAATCTTTACACCCAGTGTGGGGCTCAAACTCACGACCCCGAGATCAAGATTCGCGTGCTTTTCCAACAGAGCTAGCCAGGTGCCCCGGGTGCTCCAAGGGTTTGGAGAGCAAGAGATCCCACCTCCTTTGAGAGGAGGGAGAGAGAGTGCGGGAGAGCGAGGACAGTGGCTACCGCTGTGCCAGGAGAGGGAGAGTGTCGCCTGCCACTGGGTGTGGGGCAGGTTAGGAGAAAAGAGGATGCACAGCGGTCCAGAGAACGGGGGAGGGCTCTTCCTGTGCTCTGAGGTCTGACCAGAGGCTTTTGGGCACCAGGTCCAGGTGTGACCTCTGTCTGCTTGTCTCCAGGGCCAGCGCTGACTCCCCAGCAGGTCCCGCAGCCTCCAGTGCCCCCGCCCCTGCCGCTTGTCCCCCTGGAGGCCACGGACAGCATGCTAGAGTTGCCACACCCACTTCTGCAGCAGACCGAGGACCAGTTCCTGTCCCCGAGCCTGCCGTGCAGCTCCCCCCTGATCAGCTTCTCCCCGCCTTTGGACCAGGACGACTACCTGTGGGGCTTGGACGGGGGCGAGGGCATCAGCGACCTCTTCGACTCCTACGACCTTGGGGACCTGCTGATTAATTGAGTGGCCCTGCCTGCCCCCAGCAGCCCGCCCCTGGCTCTACCTCCTCGTAGACTGACAGGCCCTCTGCCCGCGCAGTGACGTGGGACACAAGGTGCTGCCCTCGGGGTCCGGGGGCCTCTTCTCTTTCTTACCCACCAGCCAGCCGAAGCTATCTCGGCAGGGGGGTACGTAGAGGATGTGGGTGAGGAGTGTATCAGGGGTTGGGTCCTCTCTTTCCTCATGGAAGCTGGGCCTGGGAAGGCCCATCCAGCTTCTGACCTCTGACCTCTTTGCGAAGGGCCGCAGGTGAGGCAACCAGGTCCAGGGAAAGGCCCTGCCCCTGCCTTTCAGGGGCGAATTAGGACCCTGAATTTATCAAGAAGCACTTAATGCCTTTGTATTTATTTCAGGTTGAGTTTTGTTTGTTTGTCTTCCCTGAGTTTTTAGCAGGGAGATTGTTCTAGTTTCTAGTAAGACTTCTCAGACGGGCCCAGTGCTGTCCATGGTTCGAGGGCAGGCCAGGTCCCCGATTTCCCCGCAGCAGTGGGCCGGGTCTCCGGGGGCCCCGTCCAGTCTGCTAGAACGCTACTTGCACTTCGGCCTTGTAATTCTAGTAAGTGGTGGCTGCAGGCCCTTTGGCTTCTCCTGCTTGTCATCTCCAGCCGAGGCGCCAGCCTTGAATTCCTGGTCTGCTCTGTCCAGAGATGGTTGCAGGGAGCCATCCCAGGGGAGGCGGCATCGAGGCTCCAGGTGTGGAGACCCACTTCTGTGGAATTCCCTACCTCTCCGTCCCCTTAGAACATGAAAAACGACCCTCCAGGGAGTCAGCACTGAACCCCCCCTACCCCGCCCGGGGGAAACAGGGACAGGAATGTGGAAGCAGCTATAGGGGCTGCCTAGGGCACCTTTCCTCCATTTGTGACACTTGCTTGGGACAGGGGCTGTCTTACACTGAGCACCCGGGAGGGAGTGGCAGCCCCCGCATAGAGACAGGTGGGATTAAAGCGAGAAACTGCCAGAAAGCACCCCCTCTGGTAACTACTGGTATCATCCTCCCCTTCCCCGGAAGGATTTTTTTGTTTATTGAAGGGAGTACTTCTGTAAGGATCTCCTCTCCCTCAAGCAGCTCTCACACAGACCTCCCCCCCCACCCCACCACCCCAGGACAGAGGTGACCAGGACTTGGTGGCATTTTGGCTCCTTTTGTCATGGGAATGCCGAAGGGCTGACAGGGAGGAATCTTCATTGCAGACCAGACCTTGGCAGCTGATGGGGAGATGGGCTTATGTTACCTCCTCAGGCTTAGGGTCCTGAGGTCTGTTGCCCTCCCCCACAGAGGCTTGACCATCCCACAGTGTCTCTGAAGCCCACTTTGGTGTGGGGGAGGGGGTCAGCTCTCTTCCCCACCCAACCTGGGGCGGGGCTGCTCTGGGCAGCACCAAGACTGTGCCCTCTGGAGAGAGGCAGCCAGGGATGGTGGCCTAAGAGGCCCACCACCCACCCTCAGGGAGCTAGGTTTCCTCAGGGGCTCAGCTGGGCAGCACTTTTTTTTTTTTTTTTTTAAGTTTGTAGCATTAAGTTGGTTTTAAATATGAAGTTGGCCTCGTGGGATGGCTCCTGAGCTGCCCTAAAACTGGGAAGGTGGGCTTCTTTGGGGGTGGGGTCCGATGTGAGCTAATGCCCACATGGGGACAGTTGTGCTTTGTCATTTTCACAACTTCCCGGGCCCCTAACTGTGCCCTCTCAGGAACAGATGCCCAGCTCTGGAAACAGGGCTAATTTTGTATGCTTTACAGAGATGCTTTTGGTCTGCCCTCCCCAGATACTTACAGGGGTCTCTTCAGAAGCCTATTTGGAAGCCCACTATGTCTAGGGTCAAGGGACTACCTTGGCCCTTGGGCAGGGGATGGGAATGTTGCATGGAATCTGGTTGGGGACATGTGGGGCCGAGATGGCCTTGCTGTTCTGAGGTCTCTGGGCTGCCGTTTAGTCATGTCCCATCTCTGAAGACAGAGATGTTTGACTTCCATGCCTTTGGTTCTGTCTAGAGTTTTCTCCCAGAATTAAATCAGAGAAAAGGGAGAAGAGGCCTGCGGGACTCACCGGGAATGGGTTTAATAGTAAAATCTGGCCAGAATTCAAGCTCCTTCCCCAAATGCTGGGCCATAGTGCTGGACAGAAGGGCTGCCTCTTGGGTCCGTGGCCACTACCCTGAGCAGCTGACCCTGTCCTGTGCTATCCCCTCCAGACCCTGCCTGGCCCTGGGGCTGGACTGCCCAGGCCAAGCCTCAGGCTGGGGGCAGGGAAGTGACAAGCTCACACCTCTTTTTCTTGCTAGTGACACTTGAAACCTCTCAAGAGTTCCATCAAGTGCTTTAAGAATGCCTTTTGGATGGTATTTCCTTTAGGGGCCATGTAAACTTTAGAACTAGGGTGGAAGAAAAGCCACTTTTCTTTCTGAGGTACATTATTTCTGCCAGGACATTTCCCAGCCCACCGGCGGCCCCCAAGTCACCTGTGTCCCCGGGGGGCACCAGAGGCTTGGGGGCTCCAGGGAGCTCAGTAGCACTAAGTTGTGCAGTAGAGTTGGAGGTTCGGAGAGATTTCTTAAAACCAGGGCCATGCTCCCATGTCCCTTCCCATGAAAAGTGTTCGCTAGACCAGTGTGGTGTCCCTTCTCTGCAGCAATGCTATGGTTGGACTGGTGTCGCTGTGGGAGGACGAGGGGGTCGGTGAAGCTCAGAAAGCTGGTTCTGGGAGGGTTTTGACTTGACTTTCCCTCCCCGAGTGTTCTCAGCCTCAGTTTTGCAGTGTTTAGTTCCTAGTAAAAGCGTTTGGGTGTTCCTGCATCTGAGCGTCATGTGGCTTTAGTGCATTTGAAGTGAAAGCCTTTTGGGGTTGTTTGCAGACAGCTGTCTGGTTCTCATCATTGTGTCCCAGGGTCCCCACCTCATCCTGGGACCCTGTTCTCTCATGAGGACCCTTGGTGACCAGAAGCCCAGCCAGCCTGCAGGCTCCTGGGTGAGGGAAGAAGCCTTGTGTATGGCAGATGTGTCTTGAGGGTGATTAGGCCCAAGGGCACCTGGTCCCTGTGCCGGGACCCTATACAGGTCACTTCCCTCTGGTCTGGTTTTGCCCCGGGTCCTGCCTTGATGAGCACCGTGTAAACCTCCTTGTGTTGTGATAATTGGGCATTAAATGACAACTCTGGACACCTTGATTCTTGTGCTTTCTGGAGGTCATTACCAAGTATGGGTCTGGCCCTCCCAGGTCAAAGGTGGGGACTATCCTGACCACCTGGCTGATTTCTCCCCAGAAACAGCCTCCCTTTCCCACACTGGCTTATTACCAAGCCTGAAATCCCACCACTAAGACACTGAAAAGTTAGCGGCATGGCACCCGGATCGAAAATGTGAGCACCTCCCCTGCTCTGTCTCCATCACCTCTCAGCTGGACGGTTTGGAAAGCTTGTGACCCATTCTTCTCCATCCCATCCTCTGTATCAGTGGTTCTCAAAGTGGGGTCCTCAGACCAGCATTACCCAGGAACTTGTGAGAAATGCATATTCTCAGGCTCTGCCCCAGACCTTCTGAAACTCAGGGTGGGACCCACAATCTGTGGCTTAATGAGCCCTTTAGGAGATTCTACTGCAGCTGAAGTTTGGGTACTCATACCCTCCACCACCCCAGAGTTCCCTCAAAAATGCAGTTCTGATCGTGTCTCTCCTGTTTAATGGATAGCTCCTCTCTGCCCTCTGGCCCCTTCAAGTGGCATAAAAGTCAATTTACAACATGACTAGTGGCTTACCTTACCTCTCCAGCCTCACTGGCCACTCCATCCCACCACCCATAGCCACACTGGACTTCTTAGCTCCTGAAAATATGTTTTTCCTCTGTGGGGCCTTTATACCTACTGTTCACTTCACCCAGCACGCCCTTCCCTCCATTTCAATGGAGTAGGTGCCTGCTTATTCCTTAAGACCCTGTTCAAGAGCCTTTTTTTATAGAGTTTACTTAGATACTAACATGTAACCATAAATATTTTGTACACAGATATGGTTATTTATGGGTTATTGAATACCTACTATGTGTTAGGCACTGAGGAGATAGAAGTAAATAAAGAGTGTCCCCATCCTTAGGATGTTCATAAGGCACAGACATATAAAAATACACTTACAAATAACGTGATAGTTGCAGTAACATACATTATGGGAGGGGGAGCGTGGTTGTTAGGGAAGGCTTCCTGGAGGAGGTGATGCCCAAACTATGACTTAAAGGATAAACAGGAGTCACCTGGAGTTAGGGCATACGGGGGACGGGAGACGTCCCTTCCAAGCAGAGCAATGAATATCTTCTGTCCTGTCGTTCAGCAGAGAGGAGCGGTTCATGGAGCACTGTCTGTTTGCCCCAACTCTGCCAGTTTGGAGCTCTTGCCCTAGGAAAGCCCACTGAGCCAAAGAGGTTGACACAAACCCTGAGGGCAGTGGGAGAGGGGGACTAGGTTGAGGGTCCTGTTACATCATTAGGGGACTATGACTAATGAGAAGGGTGTGGAACTTGACACCAAGAAGTCAGTTTACGTGGAAAGCACGAAGACAATCTCATCCAGGTAAGTTAAGCCAGGTCTGAAGCTTGGGACATTAGTAAAGGCAAGGGAACATAAAAGAGATGTCATGTATTGAGCTTTATGGTGTCTGGGCCCAGTGCCTTGCTAAATCCGTCACACATCATAATCTCCCTGACTTTATTTTTTTTTTTTAGATTTTATTTTATTTATTTGAGAGAGAGAATAGATAGAGAGAGCATGAGAGGGG